TCATTCTTCTGTTTCACAGCATCCCAAAGGTCTGTCTACGCAAAGCACCGCCCCCTCAGTGATAACATTTAACACCAAAGATGTTGCCAAAATGTAGAAAAAAATCATTTTATTGTGGATTACTCACAATATATAATACTGGTTGTTTTCCACAGATCGCCTCTGTGGCGGAGCTGGAGGATGACGAGTCAGTCACAGACACACAGAAGAGACGGGTGCTTCTCTCCAGGCGTCCATCTTATCGGTGAGAAGACATCAAAGAAAGTTAAACAAGTTTAGACATGAGACGGATATCTATACGGGATATACCTTCATTTAACAACCGGGAGTCAAATAATAAATAATAATCTTTCGAATCAGGGAAGTATGGACGACGTCATACGTCAGCAAATTGAAGTTAACTGCTGCAATAAAGTATGAAAAACATGAAACCAAAGCATGATAAACAATATAAAGTCTGTAAAGTGTAAAGTCTTATAACGTTAAACTGTGTGTGTGGAATCACTTTATGGAACTCTCTTCTCTCCCGCAGAAAAATCCTGAATGAGCTTTCATCGGACTCTCCGGCAGTTCCTATAATCAATGAAGAGAGGGCTGAGGACGAGGAGGACGAGGAGGACGAGGAGGAGGAAGAGGAAGAGGAGGAGGTGCCGGTCTCCAGTGCTGCCTCTGCAACAGTGCCGACCTCAATCTACCAGACCAGCTCAGGACAATATAGTCAGTACACATGTAAACAGGGCCCACCCTCTACTGTTCGATAACATAGAGTGGTATTTACTTACAGCCTCACTTCATTGTGTCCATGTAAATATTCCATTTCCTGTAAAGTGCAGCAAACTGTGGGCTTAATCCCATGTTTTCTATCAGTTAAATGTGGTAAATAGCTTAAAATACAACAGTACCCCCAGTGACAAGAACCAGGAACAAAAAACAGGATCAGAGTTGCTGCGTTTGCCGTAAATTAGCCGGGAAGGAACATCATTTTAAGCCTCGTGACGATACGACTCATAGACCAGTTCACAGTTTTAAACGTTCTAAATGTCTCCTGTTGCAGTGTGTGTGAATGACAGAAGCTGACAGGGAATACACATGGACCCAAGCTGCCAAGCCTAGCAATGCAGTTCAGTTGAAACAGTCTGTACTGTTGACTTAAATACAGTTTCTCATTGTTTTACTAAAGATTCAACCACGAGGGTGTCATGTCCCTTTAAGACTACCAACTATCAGTCATCTCACATTTTCTATTAGAAACATGAATGAAACTTTCTAAATACCTGACATAACTTAACTATTCCATTTAATTCCGACTGCAGCCTAGTTATCGCTGAACTTTGACTCCACACAGTTGCAATCACTCATGGGGGAGCCATGCAGCTGACCAGCCCAGGAGTTGAAGCCTTTCATGGGGCCCAGACCACGACGGTGGCCAGCTCTCACGTCCCGCAGCCTGGAGCCACGATCCTGCAGTGTGCAGACTCCACACAGCAGTTCTACATTCAGGGAGGACAGGTGCTCGTCCAAGGTAGGGTTCAAAGCATTTTGAAATTTCATATGTGCATATTTAGACATTTTGGAATCGCGTGTCGCAAAAGAAGGTGGTCATTTCCAGGTCCTCTTAGCATGTGGAATAACGTTCATCTCAACAGGGACATGGCTTGAATTGAGGCTAAAATGACGATCTTGTGTGAATCAAATGTAACATTATAATCCTCAATAGAAATCATGGGATTAGGACCTAGAATGAAATTGAGGGATTGTGTAAAAGAAAATGTACAAGACACACCCACAACCATGGGAGCCATAGTGAACAGTTTATCCTGGGGGCCAGTACATTACAAGCAGGGCTGAAAAACTACAGAATACTGTAAAGTGTCGGTATCATTAGGGATGTTAATATACAGTTTGTACTAGCACCAATCATTTTGTAACGTCTTCATTTGACTCCTGAATGAAGCTTTGATTCCTTAAACCTGTTTTATTACAATATTCAATGAATCAGTGAGATTGAATTGATACCGTTTGAGTCATACCACAGACACAAAATGGTGCGAGGGCTTACATACCAGTGACTCACACATGTAATAGTTTGTCACCATCAGCACCATCACAGTGGAGACGGAGGACGGTGTAATAGCTGGACTAATTGACTGTGATTACAGGGCAATCTCGAGGAGAGGATGATATAGAGACCAAAACCAAAGAATATCACATCAGTGGCCACATCTTTTCCATTTTGCCACGGACGATGAGTACGTCCGTGGGAAGAATAGGGTTTCAATCCGTGCCTTTTTGGTTTTTGTTTCTTGGTTTCATAGTGACATATAGCTTCTGTCCTTCTGGATACGTTTCACCTTAACCCCTGAAACTATGAACATAACAATAAACACAAAGACCTTGTCAGAGTGGATATTATTTGGGCTTCCATGAATACTAAATAGCAGAATAACAGCAAATAAAATACCAGAATTAAACTAGATTGGAAATACATATAGAAATAAGATGTGAACAAATAAGCACACAGTATCATTCAATACATTACATTCATACGTTAAAGTTGCAGCCAATTAGAACAAATGTAACAAATTATAAAGAAAACAATATAGAACAAATATCTTTCTACTCACACCATGTTAAGCATTTTTGAACTGGAGGAACTTCTTCGTACTTCTAAGAACATAGTTCTAAGATCCCTCAATTTTCCTTGTATTTCAGAGTAGGTACTCTCACACCACAAGAGGAACTATGAGTGGCGTAAGTGTCCGGTGATTGGTCAAACACATGAGCCAATGCAGCACCGGCAGTCTTTTAAAAACCTCTTAGACAACACAAAACACAAACAAAATGGAGGAAAACACGCACAAATGGACCAACAGTGAAGATCAGAAGTGAACTCGTTCATGAGTGCACACCCAGTGAGCGAGCTTGTAGCCAACATAGCAAACTCGCCGATCTCCCAACTGGACATGTGTGCGAGCGGTGCTGGCCAGTTTACGCCACTTCATAAAAAGGCCCTTGAAGATACGTAGATCTCGGGGGAGCTTCCCAGTGGGTTCCACTCAGGATGTCCAGAACTGTTAAGTCCAAACGCCTAGAGTTACGCAAAAGGTTATCAATAGTTTTGAAGGGTTGTGCACTCTGCTGTAACCTCTATCTAATTGAGCACAACTCAACGGTGTCTCCTTTACTATTTGGAAGCCAAAATCCAGCATAGAGAGGCTGAGTGAATGTGGTCTGGAGTCTGTTGAGGAGAGTCATGGTTTCAGAGACGCTGTAGAAAGACAGAGAACCTGCTCTGTGATCCAGGTACACTCCTACTCTGGAGGACCGAGGACCGGAGACAGAAGTTCTGATGTTGTTGTGTTTGAATTGATAACCGTTTTTGTAAGAAGCTAATCCCCAAGACTTGCTGTTGTTTCCAAATGCACATGCATCAAAGGGTCAATGATCTGCTCATATCCTTGTAGGCGACTGCTATTAAAATTTCCACTCCGCTTCTCTTCACCTCCCAGTAACAACGTCCAGTCAGGCCCTCGTTGCTCAGGACCTACCACCTTTCCAGAAATCTGTCCGGGTGCCAACGGTAAAGTTGAGGTGTTTTCACCAGTGTTGCCTTTCTGTTCCCCTCAGATAACAACACATGTGTGTGTACTGTGTTTGGATCCAGTGTGATTTGACATGAATACCGTGAGAGTTCAGCTCTTGTCTTGGGCCCTGGCGGTATCAATAAAACATCCACTTCAGTCACTGTCCGTGAGATCTTTGGCCATTCCTCATTGAGAACCCCGTGAAGTTTATCTCTTACCTCCGTCACATCTTCCAAGTACTGAAGAGGACGGGTATAGGAGCTTGGCAAGTCTGTGGATCCATCGAGACAGGTAAGTGAAGGCTTCCTATGAAGAAAATGGGTATCATCCGTTGTGTGTGGGAGCAGCTCCAGCTCAGCGTCTTTCCTTCTCAGATCAGAGATCTCCTCCTCCAACTTGTCCTGAAGCTCTGTGACCCGACTCACTTCACTTTTCTGCCGAGATCGGATCTGCATCTTCACCTCATGACTTTGCTTCTTAATCGTACTAATTAGCCCAGTGAAGATCTCCTCACTGTCATCTACTGCTTTATCAGCAGAGCGATTGAGAGCCTCCACCTCCATTTGAAGAACCTTCACGTCCTTCTTTTTCTTCTGGATTCTCTGCTGGATAGTTTGTCGACTCACCTCGAGCTCTCTCTGCCTCTCGGTCCTCTGTGCTGCAGCTGAGACCGTGTTGTGGCCTGTGTTCATCCGTGGAACCGAGATAACAGGCACATTCCTGATGGGTATGGCGGTGAACACTCTTCATCTTGTTGTGAGGAGAGCAAATGTTCTCTCGAAGCTTCTCGGTGAGGCTGACGAGCTTGTGTCTTTCAAGGAGAGGGGATTCATGGAGATGTTGCTCACATTAAGAAGCCTGACAACTCAGACAGGACTTGAGGGCTTTGCGCTTCCTCCCAGTGCAGACATCACAGGACACATATTCAGGTCCAGCATAGGAGCGATCAGCTTGGAGTCCAGTCTTCTTCAGTTCCTCCACTAAATCAGCTAACATGGTGTTTCTCACCAGGACAGGCCTTGCTGTGAAGGTCTGTGTGCACTGAGGGCAGCTGTGGATTGTTTTCTGATTCTCTTCATCCCAGACGTTTCTAATACAGCTCATAAAGTAGCTGTGTCCACAGGGAGTAGTGACCGGATCCTTCAGTACATCCAGACAGATCAAGCAGCCAAGCATTTCTGGGTCAAAATTCTATCCTTGCTCTGCCATTTGTAGGTGAATTTGAGAGGCTGATTGCTTCACTCAGCCCTCTGTTTGTTTTCTCATATGTATTTGGCGATCAGCTGCGAATGGGCTTGTCTGATCTTGCAATTTGCTTTGTCGTTGTAGACGCCCATCCTTTTACTGCCAGACCTCAAAAGTGGGCGGGAACACAGAAATGTCTGAGCACAATGGAAGTCTGTACCTGAGAAACCAGGAGGACGAGATGGTTAAGCCTTTCACAGTAAGATCAATGTTAAAAGGAGCTGTGTGTGTGCTCAGCATTTGTTTTTGACTTTTCTAGTTGCTTGGAAATCTTTAGGGGGAGATTGTGGTTCAACAGTATATGCCACATTGAAGTGGTATGCATCAATGGGAAGCTGGGAACCTGATGATTACTTTGAGATGCAGTGTGCAGTGTTTCAAGTTGTTCTAGTCATAAATAATGAATTAATTGTTGTTGAAAGTGTAAAAGGGCTGAGAACATTATGATGGAAGTATATGAAGTTCACCATGCTCTATTATGTCTCGTAAGTTGTTGCCGCTTTTTTGTGTTGTTACCATTTATTACACAGATTTGGTGCTAAATTTACCCTCGAGAATTGATGAAAATCTCAAATCACAAATCCCTCAAAAATACAAACTTTGTTGAAGAACACCATAGAAAAATCCATGCTATGATTTGCTATCAAATTGGATGGCGAGCACTTCTGGAAACTGCTCAGAAAGTCCCTTATTGTTCATATACCTAGGAAAGCCATACATCCTCTGAATACTCTAGGTCTCCAGTTTTAGTTTCAGGTCATTTTATACAGTGACGTCAAGTTTCAGAAAATGGTTTCACTATGTGAAATAGCTACTAAATGGAGAATAACCAGAATAAGATGTTTGAGCTCATTGGATCAACAATAGTTTCAGCTTTCCAGTGATACCAAAGTTCTGCTATTTCAAGACTATTTAGAGACCCCAGTATCCAGAAATATTCAAGTGGACCATTTTTAGAAAAGGTGTATAAAACACATGTATACTGCAGTCAAACAACTGCATGGTTTTTGACCAAAACTGCATTGGATAAGCATAAAGTAGGTATGTCTGTAACATAGAAGCAGTTTCATTCACATATCTTGCGGGGCGAGAGGCTTCAAAACTGAGGCAACTACAACCTCTGAAAGACGGTGATCGCCGGCAATCCCGGGGTTCTGAGAGTTGGTGAAGCAGCCAAATCTTGTTCGCTTGTTCCTCTTAAACGTTTTACTCATTCCCTATCGGATCCATCAGGCAGTCAGATCTATTCTTTTCATGGGCTCTGCTAAATATCTGCTATGCTCTAGAATTCAGCAATATGAGTCATGAACATGTTGTGATGATTACTATAAACAAATAATGTAAATGCTCAATTATCTTTATTCTCTCCGTCATCCCACCTCCCGTCTTTTAAAGACACACAGGCACACAAAATAACTCCCATCAGGGTGCTCAACAGTTTGCACGGCAGCCGCTTGGGACACAATATCCTCTTGTTTGTTGAGCGTCTCTCTGCGTCACCAGTGCTAAAAATACAACCCCTCCACTACCAGCTCTCTCCCTCCCTCCCTCCCTCCCTCCCAGCTCACATTGTGTGACTCTACTTTACCGTCTTATCCGCGGGGGGAGGGAGGGAGGGAGAGGGGAGGAACTCTAATCCGGGGTGTTTTACTGACTTCAGCGGGCAGGAGTGATGTCATTGTGATGTCAATGCCTGTAATTGTAATCGGGCTGCAAAGTTGACGAGTGACCACTCCGACGCGGAGAGAGCTGAGAGGGAAAAGGGAGGAGGAGAAAGAGGCTCTGGCGAAGCAAAGGAGTGAGGGTAGAAGAGTGTTTGGCTGCCGCGGTGCTGGATTATTGGAAAGAAGAGATGGCTGTGACTGGGGATGAGACTGAGTCAGGTACAGTGTCGCTCACACTTTGTTTTAAAAATGTGTTTTGTGCAAAAGTCACTTTTCTTTTACTCTTGAGATGTTTATTGGACTTGAAGAGCTTCTGGGGTTACGCCCACCTGTAAATAAACAGTGAATACAAATATGCTATTTGGACAAGATTTTTTTAAACTGTAAGAGGACATTTTTTTTATTTCAACAATTGTGAGAGCAAGACTTTTTCTTACAGAGAAATATTTATGACATTTGAGTTACTTTTCTGCCACTTTTACTTCATGCATGGTGAAATTGCAGAGGACACATGGCGCAGATTGGAAAGCTGTCATTCCTGTTTCACCACAGGAACGAACAGCTCACGCAAAAAAAGAAAAGCGTTTTGGTTAGTTTGCTCAACTATGTTCCTGTTAGTCCGTCTCCCGCTGGTACACTTGCGCACACACTCACACATTCTGCTCTCTGCTGTCAGGCAGAAAGGCAGTGGGGGAGTGTTTGTGTGTGTTTGTGTGTGTGTGGGGGGGGGGGGGGGGGGAGATAGTTGCCGGTTTGACGTCACTCCAGTTTCCTGGAACAGAGGCCAGGCAGGGAGGAGGGAATGCAAATCGGGCGAGTGAGACGCACACACTGACGTCAGCACAGCGCGAGTCACTCTGTTATCACAATGACAGAGAGGGTGTGTGTGTGTGTGTGTGTTTGTGTGTGTGTGTTTTGACAGGAGAGGGGGGGGGGGTAGAAACTTCTCAGGAAAGTGAAGAAGAGAAACTGAAGCAGTGAGAGACATCAGGTAGAGCAGTTAACAGCAGAGTCATTTGTCGATGATTCAACTCGTACGTCTCATGACCCACATCCAGGAAGCTGCTTGTTTTTCACCTTTTAATGACAAATACAATCAGCTACTGGTCAACGGCAGCACACAGTGGTTCACTTTGTGGTAAATACAACATACTTATTGAAACCTATGGACAGTCTGTGGGGAAAATTTGAGCACACAAAACATGAATTTGTTCTTTTGAATTAATAATACGTGCACATTAACGAACAGTTTGTTTCATTTTGACCAATGTTCTTTTATTTTACCATATTTGTAAGGGATGTCAAAGACATGTTTCTTAAGTATTTCCATGTATCACTGTCCAAATTCTAAAGAAATGGCTTTAAACCCAAACAGCTAAATAACTGTTTATTCTGCACAGTGTTAGGCTAATACAGCAGCCAAGGCTGGACAGACTTATTGAAACACTATTTAACAAGGTGACAACCTAACATTATTAATATGATGGAATGAATTCAAATCCAAAACACTTGCTGCTAGTCTGCTGCTAACACAATGCCAGATCATAAATGACTAATCTGTGTGCACAAATGAAGTACTTCAAGAGCAGAAACTATTAATTAGTGCACACAAGTACTCCGGATACCTACTCTGCTAGGTGAAGATCTTAACATGTTGTTGTTATTATTATTATTAATATGATTTTCTTTTTAGCCAGCTTCTAGTGGCCATTAGAGGAACTGCATGTAAGTCATGTCTTAAAGAATGTTACAGCAAATTAAAAGGAGTCACGGGCCAAAAAATAGTGTTGTACACCGGCATGATAATAACCACTGATAGAGAAACAAATGGAACCACTTTATACCCCAAAACAGGTCGGGTCGGTTAAATACAGATACCGGTTCACGAGGACCGTCGAGGTCAGAGGAAGTTCATCTTATGAGGCAGGAAGGAGAGCGGATGAGCACTCTTGGCTGAAGTTGCTGTTTAACATCCTGTGGCGAAATAAATTCATGTTTGCTGTACTTTAAATGTGAAAATGTGAAGAAACGCACTGTGTGACTGAGAAAAATGTTATTTCATGTATCCCATTTTTTATTATAAAAGAGAAATAAGGGCAGCAAAAAGTTACAGAACTTGGAGTCCTAAAGCTTCTGCCCCCCCCCCCCCCCCATACAGCTGCCACAGGAGACATCCCCGCCTACCAGCTGCGTTCGCCCAACTCGGGCCTGGCTCATAGCATCGTGATGGCAGCGTCCCCGGGGTCCATGCAGAACCCCCCACCGCGCTCTGAAGACACCACCCGCAAGAGGGAGGTCCGACTGATGAAAAACAGGTAGGAGATGCTAATGGAGGAGAAATAAGCTCATAGGACAATAATGGTTCAAAAATGCAGTCGCTGAGATGAGTATTTGGGGCGCTAATGGCCTTAAATGTTTGAGTCTCCTTTTCTATCCTACAGTAGAGCATATCTCTCCGAATGGTGAATCTCACTTTGGGATGAAAGTTAAAAGATACACAAGTTATCATTTATAACAGGTTTTAAATGATTCAAAGAGCCAACCAGGGCTCCATCAATCCCTTGGATTGTGCATTGCTTGCATTTTCTCTGGAGCCTAAATTACATGTAGGCTCCACTAGGCTACATACATTTTCAACAAGTGACTCAAACATGTCTCTCTCTCTCTCTCTCTCTCTCTCTCTCTCTCTCTCTCTCTCTCTAGGGAGGCAGCTCGTGAGTGCCGCAGGAAAAAGAAGGAGTACGTGAAATGCTTGGAAAACCGTGTGGCTGTGTTGGAAAACCAAAACAAGACCCTGATTGAAGAGCTGAAAGCGCTGAAGGACATTTACTGCCACAAAGCCGAGTAGCAGCGGCCGTTTCTGGTCACGAGCCAAAGACGGCGCCGTTTACAAAACTGCCACAGCAAAACGACAAAAAAAGAAAAGACTTTGGAACAAAAACTTTGTTGTCTCCGCTCACTCAGGCCTGGTGTCCCGGGAATTCGAACAGCTTGAGCTTTGCCAGTTATTGCCCTTGTTCTTATCTTGCGCTCTTCGCATGTGAAGCGTCGCACGCGCTTCGCTCGCTGTAGCTTTCGTGCACGCCGACGAGAGGCAGTTGAAGGACAGGAACCGGAAGAGGAAATACAGGTGCTTCCTGAAAACATAGTGAGGGGTTAAAGAGAGAAAGAAAAAAGACCCGGCAGGTCAGCCGGGTCTCGCTGCCGGCAAGTCCCTCTGAGGTCAGACGAGGTGCACGCAAAGCTACGCAGACGCAACTCCACCGTGTTTACCCGACAACGTCATCTGCGTCGTCTACGCTTCCGTTGTGGGCCGTGTCATGCATTCCTTCATGCAAAAAAACCAAAACACTTTGAGCTTTTTGTTTGTAGAGCGATTTGGATCTTTTTGTATAGACGTTCTTTCGTTTGGTCAATAAAAAAAAAAAAAAAAAAGGTTCTTTCAAGACGCACGTGAAGAATTCAAGATGGCGGTTTATGCACAGAGCTGCAAACATGTTTCACACCAAAGTAGCGGCCGGGGCTTTATCTGAATCATTTTTCGTCTCTACAGTGAGTTGATTGTAACATTTGAAATGACGCAACTGCTCGTCAGTCAAAGCACAGAAAGTACCAGAATATGTATTCTATTACATTTATTTGAGGAATTTCACTCCACAAGTTTGTATATTATTTTAGAAAGCAAATGTAACCAAGTGGCTAACATGCGACACAATTGAATCGACTATTCTCTACGGAATAAAACTTTTGTAAACAGACATCTGAAGATAACTCACTGCTTTACTGTCACGCAAGCGTCTTTTTCACATCATAGATATCCATTGTGGTGTAAAACTGTATTTGATTATGGCTGGATATTAAAATGCTCTGTTTTAAAGGGTGATGCCAATTTCTTTCCTTTCCTTTTTAAAAAAAAAAATGTAAAGACATTTTATTTTAATGATAATATATCGTGTTGTGTTGATGTTTCTGGTGATTTTAAAAACTGCTTGCTTTCTTTTTGTCTCTGTAGTTGAGTTTGTTCCACTGAAGAGAGAGAGAGAGAGAGAGAGAGAGAGAGAGCATGAGCATCTCTCATGGCTGCCAAAGCTCTCTATTTAACTAGCGCTTAGCTCAGTGACACCACGATGACTGTTGTGACCTGTCATGGTTTGTCTTCACAGAGGAATGGCCGTTTGCTAAAAAATTGTTAATAAATTTATGTTTAATTTGATATCAACTGAGTTGGATTCATCTGCATGTAGTATTATTTGTTGGCTCTTATCTTTTACCCGGTGTTCTCTTCTCAGTGTACTTCCTTTAATTGAATTGTAAAAACCCAAACTATTTTTGTTTATCTAATAAAACATTCAAATGGGACAAGGGTTGTGACTTATTGCTCACCCAACGCTCAACTTCCTCGGTAGGTTTCACAGAACAGAAGACATTTACAAAGTGCTGCCGCCGTCTGGTAGTAAGAGGTACTTCAATGTTTTCTGTCGAGGGAAATGAGAAGGAAGAGGACACAGTTTGATGTTCAAAAGTTCGTTTCTTTAAAGGATCCCCATTACATACACTACATGATAAATGTAGTTGCATTAATATGCATACAATTACATTCATATATATATAATGAAAAATCCATGTAGAGTTGATGTTTAAATGAATGAGAATCCATTCCAGCGTCATTTAAAAAGAATATGCAGCGGTATTTCTTTTGCATGCAGATGACAATCTGAATGGAAGGAAGCATCACTCTGTGCTGGTTAATATTACTGCACGGACATGAATACCTCTGCTTATACTTTTTAAAGGATTATTTATGGAGTAGATACAATTGATTTTCTTTGTTTTTAAAAAACAAAATCAGCAGTTTAATTATGATAGGATAGAATGATTTAGGCTGACGACAACTTGCATCTTTAACACCTCAAATGTTGTAATCGCTATACAACTGAAGTGGAAATTCCTCTTTGACTACATCTTCATCTCAATGGGATCTTGTGAAAGCATCTTGAGGAGCGTTTTGTAAATTATTCGTCACATTCCCACATTGGAGCTCACTGTAAGACAGACGCAGCCTATTCTTGTTCACGCCTTAGCACATCTAAGGAAGTCTAAGTTGATTTGGAGTTAATGATCGATAGAAAAACATCTCACAGAGCCTTGTGAAGTTATTATAAGTCAGTGATGGAAGACAACTCTATGAATAAATAATTGCCGATCGTCTATTCAATCCTCTCCTTTGTGAAAGTGTGGCTGCTTTTGTTTTTCTTGGTGTTCATATCAGCCGTTGTAGCTGAGGGTGAAGGGAGGAGTGGTTCACCGCAACTTGTTTATCAGCAGTGTCGTTTCCTCCGGTCCCTAAAGGTCACAGATGATGTGACGTCCACCTACGAACAGATGCAAACTCAGTTTTATTTTGGTAGTCCTGGCAACAAAAGGTCAGCTCAACCTTTGCTAAGTAACAAGATGTCTTCATTCGCCTCATATCTCACTGAATGGGATAAAAAAAGAAGCAAACTAAGATTTCAGGAGCCAGTGACAAGAAATTACTTTAAAAAAAGGGGATGTGCATGAAAATGAGTAGTTTCCATAGTAACATCTGGCGATATCACGCTGACCTCGAAGGGGATGATGGGATGGATCTCTCTGTTTCTTTGTTGAAGTGGGGTTGCTCTTCTTCGTGCCTCATATTCATGTGCTTCTCCCTCGCATTACAAATTAGTTTTCTCTCAAAATGACAACACACGCAGGAACAGGGAATTAGGCTTCTGTCTTTATCTCCTACACACACACACACACACACACACACACTGCATACACACATGAAACTCTCTTTCTCTGTTTTGATACATTCTCACACACACACACACACACAGAGTGGTGACTATGATGCTGAAAGGGAGCGTGCCTCTGATGGAAACCTTGAAATGAGTGTTTATGAAGAGAAAACCTTGCCGCTCCCCGACACTGAATCATCTTATCTCTTTGACATTCTGCCTCTGCTCTTGAAACGTTACAGAGTTTTCACTGACACTTAAAATGGTTTAAATACATGTTTCGCGACTGTTCAACGTGTATGAGTCGAGTATCCGTCATCATTGACCTTTACATTTATTTCATTCAAGCACATATATGAAAACTCTCCATGCATAATAACGATTTAGTTCTATTTCCTGGTGGAGTCAGTACCAAGTCAATTGCTGTTTAAAAGTGCACTGTTTAGTATTTACTCAACCCCTGAATCTGCATGTATCATCTTCCCCCTCCAGAGCCGGAGCGTTGCAGTGTGGGAGGCTCTTTAATATTTCATTCTGTTACCTCTCAAACATCTTCATGGCCTTTGGTCCAGTTTGACCGGAGTGGAAATTTCCACCTAGAGACTAAACCGCCTACCAGCAGCGAGCCGAGGCCGACTGCCTTGACAACATGAACTGTGCTCCACTGTGGCGGCTCGAGGAGGACCTCTGCTGTCCGACACACGCTACTGCAACAACAAGCTCCGATCCTGGAAACCAAACGATAGCCGTGAGATGTTTCGTTGGTTTAACTTAAGAAGTGGTAGTTTCCTTGCCGCCTTAAAATTGGGAATGAACAGAACTCATACTGAATGTTCAATTTCAATAAAAAACTCATTTACTTTCACCAACTGCATGAAAATATGGCAATGTTGAGACATTAAGTTAATTCAACTGTAATGCAGTGATCTCAATTTTTAACATTATAGTTATCATGTGTCACCATGTTTGGTCCGATTTATGTTTTGCAAAAGTGGAGCTTCTTCAACAAGAAGGCTCCTCTCTAGAGCCTGTTTGCTGCTTTGTCTATTCTGGGACATTCTGTAGAGACTAAGCAAACAAAAACACAACAATTATTTTATTAATATTATATTCCATTTCGGCCAATAAATCCCCCGAAATCCTTCACACTGGACCTTTAATAAATCCATACAGATGCAATACCATGGGTTGGCCGCAAGATGTCACTATTTTGCAGCTTTGGGCCCCAATAATACAACCATCTAGGTGAGCTCGTTGGCAAACCAAATAATCCTGGAAATAACTGCTATCTATATATTTTTTGGGTCCTTTGCCAACTTGTCTTCTTTGAGTCCACCCACTGACAATGAGATTAATTTCAACATTATAGAATCTCTTAAGGGCACTTAAAAAAAGAAGTATCCACACCTTTTTGACAGCCTTCCCCCAATGCATGATTAATTAACTCTACAAAACCTTGACCCAAATCATAACCCAGTCCTTAATGGACTAGAACCCTTTAATATAGTCATGTTAACTTATATCACTCTCTCTGATTATTATCTCTCTATCCGCGTGAGAGCACTTGATTCTCGACATGAATATAAACAGGTGCAGCATCACCTGTCTACTATTACAGGTTATATCTACGATTTAAATGCGCTCTGTGCAAGTTCAGATGACTCACTTATTTGATAGGAAAAAAAAAGTTGCCTAACAATAACCCATCTAATGACCAGATGAATAGATAGACGTGGATGAATCTGTTAGGATAAAAACAAAACAACAAATAGGTCCATATATATATATCAGCCTTATCAGCAATACATCATGGTATTATCTGTGTCACCCGTCCTCTTATCTTCTCCGCTCTGTCATGCGTAAACACCCACTTGAACCGGAACCTTTTCTCGGGATTTGCAGCCCTCCCTTGTCGGTCTATCGCCCTGACAGCCAGCCAGCCAGCCACACCACCGATCCCCCCCCCCCCCCACACACACCCACACACATTCACACACACCCACACACACCCACTCCTGCTACACGATGCCTGGGATAGCGGCGGCAGGTCGGCCCGTTACATACATCTGCTACAACCGGTGGAAGTGACATATTCATCCCCGCGCGTCAGCCTACTCCGTGGACACCGACCGTTACCGGGATCCATGGGCACTGCTGTACGGATGCACCCCGTGCGCTCTGGTGATCTACGGTGACCGGCTCGCCCCGGTGGAGTTGGCAAACCCGTCGTTTCAAGTTCCTATTTCAGCGGGAAGGAATTGTTAACGCTACATCTGAGGGGTGCTCGATAAGAGGGGGAAGAAAGATGGGGAGCACGACCTCTTGCTGCGTGCCCTCCAGCCCCAAGCTCCGCAGAAATACCCACTCCCGGCTGGAGTCGTACCACCAGGAGTCGGAGCTGAGCAGGGAGGAGACGGGATGCAGCCTGCAGCACATCAGCGACCGGGAGAACGTCGACGGTAACAATATAAAGAGTGTTTAGGCTGTCACCACGACATGTGAGAACAATAAGAAACAAACA